AGTAGTAGTAATGGACAATTGCAACCTCCACTATTCTGATCATGTTTTTAGGTTGATCAGAGCCAAGGGTGGTCTGGCTGTGTTCTTACCGTAAGTTAAATAAATTTATAACAAACTTACCRGAACRAAAATTTACTTCTCCATGCATGCACAATTTTATAAGCATTTTCATGCAAAGATTTTGAAGTAAACWAAATTTCTCACCAAAKTGACATTATYATTAATAGYGAAAATCCTTTGASTTATTTTTTAAAKACCATACTCTCCAGATCTTAATCCCATAGAGCAGTGCTTTTCTGCAAGTAAGAAKTGGCTTCAACGTCATCAGGATGTCTGTAAGAAATATCCCAAGCGTTGCTTTGATATAGCACTTTCAAAGGTAATTTATCCATGTAAGCACATGTCAATTCAAAATCATACAAAAAAATAAAAATTTAACTGTAACTTTTARAATTTTATTTCAAACATTGKGGCTTTAACCCTGATGTTACTCCATTAGGTTTCAACAACCAGCTGCACAAACTTCWTTGYATCAYGTGGTTACTTTTGAACCAAGACTTAKRAAACAGCAAGTAGAAAGACAACAGGAGAAATGGTGCTTTTCATGATTACATTAACTGCCAACGTGTCAAGTTAGCTATTTTGACTCTTTTCTTTTTAAATCAACTAACAACTTATGGCTAGGTATTTAAATATAATAATATACAGGGCTTAAAATAATGGCTGGTCRYCAGACAATGCCGGTCCTTCATGGAAACATGTTTGAACAAATCTTTTTCTCRACAGTCAATTGGACATGACCAAAAAACAGCCATTATTTTTARCTCTGCATATATACTGTAATTCTTCAACAGCTTTTATTTTATTTTGAACTTTAGTTCTCTATATATTATTATCCTTTSTGACCTTTTCAACTCAMCTTAATAAACTTTTTTATCAAAGTACACAAAGCAGATATTGGCCTACTCTATACAGACTTAAGTTTTCTTATTTCATTCACCAGTTTAAATTGCTCCTCTATATCTCTTATTCCTAGGTTTTCCAGTATGCTCTTTCCTAGAACTGGATRAATTATTGCCTCCAACATTGGCCCATCTATTTGGTTTTGCACAAATGATTCAATATGATTTTCCAAGCCAATTTTTTSCAACACTTGGATACATTCATTCTTGGTAAATTCCTGTAAAGCTAAACATCAGAAATGTAAAATGATTAGAATTTGTATATCACAGTTAGTGAGGCCTGTTAATATATTCTAATAAATCATGTGGAGGAAACCAAAAGAAATCATAAAGATAATTCCTTAAGTATATCATTTCCAGACAATCTATTCACATGTATTTCTACTATGATTATTTATAAATTATTGCTAAAGCAGTTATRATATTTCTTTTGGTTTTCTCCACATGACTTGTTAGAACATTAGCAGACCTCACTAACATAAATTATTATAAATTGTGATACACCTATTCCAAAAAACTCTTGTCATCACCAAAGGCAATATGTCTTTTAGGAGCCCAAAAACTGTTGGAAGTGCTTGTATTTCTGTTTTTTTTATCTACACACAGAGGTTAGTGTTGAGATATCCACTGTTGTTTGTAGCCCCGAAACTGCACTTAAAGATTGATTATTTCCGTTTAGTTGACCTATCGTCTATTGCCTATTGCCTTTGGTGGTGATAACAAATTCACTATAATGCCACCTAACAGAAATGAGAGCATAAGTTCATAAATTACCAAAGAGGGATGGTGCTAGATAAGACATATCAAAAAWTTTTTTAGCCCTTTTGAAAGGTGAAATTTTAACCCCCACCCAAAAAAAATCAAATAGCCATTACCAWAATAARGACTTCCCTCCCTCTGTTGATTTTAAAATGCTACCAGTGGTAAACTATCATTAAATAGCTTACYCTTAGAAGTATGGAATGATAAGGATTGATTAGCTGAAGGATCCAGCTGGAACGTTGGTTGTACCTGCATTATACAAATATATATCTTAGGTTTATAAACATTTTCTTAAAAAAAAAAAAAAAACAATACACAGCTAAAATGAGAGCCAGTCATTTACCAATGTCCTATTATAATGGGAACTGTTCAGTAATTCAGTAATGACCCAAAAGGCAAAGATTTTATCAGACATAATATCAATCATGCATGGACATTCTCCACTGAACAGTCATTATTTTCACAGTGCTAGTTGGGACAAACCATTATTGGAATCACATAATACGTGAGTGAAATACTAAGGGTGTAGGATCCAAGGTTTTTTTTCTGGAAAGTGGTGTGGCAAGTGGGGGGGGGGGGGGGGGGGGGGGGGGGGGGGGGTCGAGGCATCTGAGGGAGGTGGTACAAACCCAAAAAAGGAAACATAGGGGCACAAAATAGGAAAACGAAGTTTTTGGGGGTGTATTTCCCATGCTTCTCTCCCCTGTATGCAATACACAGTCAAGGTGATATACCTGATTTTTAGGTGATACGCAGTTGTTGGACATCATTGCCAGAACTGCAGTCTGGAATATTTCAGTTCTCTTGCTTTCTTCCATAATCCTTTGTAGATCGGAAGAGCATCATTGCCAGAACTGCAGTCTGGAATATTTCAGTTCTCTTGCTTTCTTCCATAATCCTTTTATTGGTTTTGTAGTAAAAGCATTTCCATRAGGTCTCCATTTGATGCCATTTTAGAATCACTTGAATTTGAGCCACTGACCGAAGATGTACTACTACCTGGAGATAAACTTCTTCTAGTTTTTGGTGGGACAATAACCTGTTCAAGATACAGCTCCCACTCGGGTTCCTCTCCACAGCCAGATGACTTTCCTTCCAGAATCATATCTGTCCATAGCTGCAAATGCTTTGTACTATATCTCCRAAGGATTCCTTTCTTCTCTAAATMTCTTACCAAACTCACATGAATTTCATTCCACAGCTCATTATCGTTCTTTGAATCACTYCCTGTTCCCATGTCAAGTTTTCTTCTTCTTTTGGAAGGTATTGCACCTACAGCACATCAAAGAGTATATCATTAAGATTATATCATCAGTTAAATAATCAGTATGTCATCAGTTCAACAAAGCGAAAATATAACCTTTGATTACCTACCATTGTCACCATCAGAAGAACATTTGCTGACCACTGGGCACGCAATACGGATTGAATTTGTACCACGATATTCTTCYTTGCACTTTTGAAGATCTTCATCATTCTTCAACACAACTGGAYTTTTATTTCCCTTTCTCAACCAAGAAATGCCTTTTTTGGGGACATAACATGTTTTCATTTTCTTTTTTGTTCAGAAGATCAATAATATCTAGCAGTTTTGCATCGGTATCTACATTGTGTATAACTTCTGCAGATGATGAAACCTTCCCTACTTCTGTGGTATGAACAAAAACATCATATGTCTTTTTCACAAGACGAGGTGACCTTCTTGGGGTTTGTAGCACATATGATGTTGTGTCTAGGGATGTAACAGCATCAATGTTACAAGAATTTAAAAATATCGTTATTCTTGATGTGGAAGAGGGGTGGGTTTATAGACCCTAAGCAGTATAAAATGCCCACTCAGAGAAATTGTCCTAGGAACAAAACAAATATTTTTGCATAAGAAAAGACAGCTTAGTTTGTCCTAGCCTCCAGTTCAATTACTATTGGGAATTAAAGTGCAAAGGGTCTATAGCGTATTTATACTGAATGCAAGTTTGAGGGRAAAATCGGTTTATGATATGCCATACAGGGTCCTGAACGAAGTCCTAATCCCATTTCCCAGTGTAAATTTTGGCTTAAATCCCATAGTTTAAGATTCCAAAATCCCATCGAGTTTTTTTTCAAATTTTCAATCCCATGCCCATTTTTTTTTTTTTGCTTGTGAATCCCAACTCCAATTTTACCCCTTCGGGACCTGATAAACCCTGAACTGCAGTAAGATAATTTTGCTTACCATTTTTATCCAACTCCGCCGCCAAATACATCCTATCTGTTCTCCCTGATTTCTTGCCGCTTGGGTACTGTAAAGGATATTCCTTCAATAATTCAGAAATATCACCAACGCCATTCAGACAAATTATTGCCTTTCCTTTGGCGCGCTTGAAGTATAAACGCTTCACTCGTTGTCCGTGGCCATTTCGACGTATGTAATCCTCAACGCAGCAAAGTAGTGTATCATAAGTCCACCTGTGAGGAAGCAAGAAAGGAGTAGTCTCGGCTCCAGACACTTTTCCATCTTTGACTTGCAGGAATAGAGCTACCTCCCTCTGTAAGAAAGAGAATCGGATGAAATATTTACAGCTGCAAGCTTACGTCAAATGAGTCYACGAGGTTTTGACAAGGCAGTATATTTACGGGCAATATAAACTATAACACACTTGAGTAAAACATGCTTAGGAGAACGAAATTTTTTCTTACCTGATCTTCAATATTATCAACTATTTGAGTCTCCTCCAAGTCCGGTAACGGGATTGGAATATCCAGGAATTGAGAATCTTCCATGTCACCGGCCATTTTGTTTGTGAGGAAAAGAATCTTGTCGCTCGGCCATCGATCGGATTCCATTCGGTAGTTATCGTAATTTTGATTGACGGCAGCCAAAACGCATGTTTTGGGCTGGCGTCAAATTTGTCGAGGTCGAGTAATTATGAAAGGCGCTGTAAACTATAAGACGTCGTTTCAAGAAACCTCTTACTTCTACTTCTTGTAACTTGTAGGTTTGAAGGTTTTAAGCTCATTCAACAATGAATCAGTAAAATAAGAAATGCGAAAGATCAATTTTCACTCATACCATGAAAGTTCAATAAAAACCTCGAGTAGAAGAAACACATTTTCCCACCTAAGACCACGAGTCGATCCGCCCGATCTGTCACCCAACTCTAAATGCCGCTTTACTTCTGAATATCGGCAAAACAAGAAATGTTTTTAGTCATTCTCTGCTATTTAATAATTTGAAAGTCTCTTAAATGGATCCTTTTAAAGTAAGAAGAAGCTGAAAAGTATGCAGAAGCTTTAAGGATGGGATGTGTGTTCCATTGGAGTCAAGCGGTGTGGCGTAAGGTTAGAGTTGTCTAGCTTCAATCAGCTTTGAACATATATACAATATTTATCTCACTTGAGTTTGTTATTTTTCTGCAGGTGCAAGAACTTGGGCTGACCCTCCCTTATGAAAATGATTTTATCAGAAAACTCTTGGCTTTGCCATTTTTGCCAGCCACAGAAATTGAAAGAGTGTTCAATACATTGATGCAACAGGCGACTACAAGACCACTGCAAGATCTGGTAGAGTATATCGACAACCAGTGCGTATCTAGTGCCACCTTCCCTCCTGAAGAATGGAGCGTATACAGTCAAGCCATCCGCACCAACAATGATGTGGAGGGATGGCACAAAGGCTTGAACGGTTGCGCTTCTGGTAGAGTCCACCTTCTATTTTATTTGTTAAGGCTCTCCCTTCCCCAAATTCAATGAACATTTTACAAGTGTCAATATTTAAAAATCTGTTTCTGTGTGATCTTTGCGTTAGGTATTCAGCAAGTCACAATAGACTTTGATGCGGCCATTTGGGGGGCCATCAGAATGATTCTGCCTGGTGTCAAGATAAAGGGATGTGTCTTCCACTGGACACAAGCTTTGTGTAGAAAGGTATGTTAACTTATTATTCACTCATTCCTTGATTCAATCACTTCTTCTTTCATTCCCCCTTTTCACTTTTTTATTTACTTATTTCATCACTCACTCATTCATTCATTCATCCATTCTTTCTTTATTCATTTCTCATTGCAGGTTCAAGAATTCGGTCTTCAGACCCAATACAGAGAGGACAATGGGTCTTTCAAGTTCATAAGAAAGGTAATGGCTCTCCCTTTCTTACCTGCCTCAAAGATTACCATCATGTTCGAGAAAYTCGAAAAAAAAGCATCAGGCAGAGCCTTGAAAAAGTTTGTGGAATATCTGAGGAGCACGTGGATAGAGAGCTTGGTCTGGCCTCCCTCATGCTGGTCTTGTGTTTAATATGGCAGTAAGAACAAACAACGATGTTGAAGGCTCGCATAATAGCCTAAACAGGCAAGCCAATGGGCGATGGGCAATGCCTTTCTACCTCCTAGTTGGCCTTTTGAATAGAGAGGCATGCMTTACGGCAATAAACATTCGCCTCGTATCTGAGGGAAAGCTGAAAAGATTTCAGCGTAAAAGATATAGGCTCTTACAAGCCAAGTTGTTTTCCTTTTGGGAAGATTATGCGGAAGATCAAATTAATGAGTGGCAGCTTCTAAAACGCTGTGCCCACTTGAATGGGCCTAGAGCTGAGTGATTTAGTAGTAATAGTTGTTATTTTTAGTATTTTACTCCGGTTTTCATCTGAATAATATTGCTATATCAATGTATTTTTTTGTATTCA